CAGGAAACTCCTAATTAGATTAGGAGGGTTGATCTTTATCTGTAGATAAGATAAGGGATTATCCTTATCTCTTAAAGAGAGTCCAGATCCAAATACAAGATTTGRATTARGAAACTCBTARTGGRATTAGGAGAACCTCTCTTTAAGGCTATAAATATGAGAGCAGGGTGAACCCTCAGTACACAACAGAAACTAATATGACTGCTGAATTCAGAGAGAGACAACACAGTTAGACTGCATTGTCTCATTCTCTCCTACTCTTGCCGCCATACCAGTTCGATCTCCACCTGTGGGAGCAATCAAGAAGTTTTCTTGATATTACCTTTTGGCAGAAAAGGTAATCAGAAGTCGTGCTCACTAGCCCTCCATCAGATTCTTGCTGAAGAATCAGGTTCTTGCTGAAGAACCATCCTGCTGATTCTGCTTCATCCTGCACCGTGTCATTTTCAGTGGAAGCAGTCTTTGGATCTTTCCTTGGGTGTGAACACCTTCATTAGAGGTTATTGTTACTTCGTATCAGGTATAGCCCTCCACTCCCTTTTGGTTTCAGATCTTGTCTGGTTTAGGTTCAAGATTGATCCTTGAAAATACAGTTTTCTAAAATAGGGAATGTGATTCCCACGTGGGAGAGAGAGAAATTTTTGAAATTCGCCCAACCTTCCTGTAGGGTTCGGCCATCCATATGATGGATCTCTCATCCCTTAAAGTTTTAGTGTGATACAAGGACCCTTATATGAAGCAAAGCCAAAACATTATTCAGTTCTGAATCCCTTAGTCCCCTTCTCAAATCCATGTCCCAATAAAAATCAGTTCTTGAACTAGAAGGGACAAGAAAGGTGGAAATAGGCTCATAGTTGTACCTTGAGAGGGCAAAAATAGAGGGGTATTGGCCTTTTAAAGGAAGGTTCCCCACCTAGCATTTTCCCAGAATTTTATAAGATTTCCAGAGCACAAATCATACCTGATAAATGGAAGAAATGAAGGTAGAATGGTATGAATGGCCTTTCAAGGAGAGGATCTTGTGGCCCTAGTCAATACTCTAGCATCCCAACCATCCAGCACAAGCCCATGAATTTTTACCACTACCTTAGCCCACAATTTATCCCTATCCACAAGTAGTCTCCACAACCATTCACCTAGTAAAGCCACTTTTGTTTTCTGTAAATTGCCTATACCAAGACCACCAATTTCCACTATATAAGCTAAGGTGAATTAATTATTTCTTTCCCTAATTGTTATGACCACCAAAGTTAAGTTGGCTTTGTAAGGGGTGGAAATGGGTGGGTATGCTGTAGGATTTCCCTGTCAACATGAACAACTGAAGACTATGGTTTATAAAGGAGGTTGTATAGTGGCAGTGGTCTAAACTAAAATACCAAAAGAACTTTTACTTAGTTTTTAATTGTTAATGATTGTGATTTGTGAAAAGCAACTTGTGTCACAATTTCTAAAAAAAAGGTGCAACTTGTGTCATTTTAATCCTGAAATATGATCTAGTTGAACAATTGTTTTCTACGATTTTCTGTGCTCAAGTGTTGTAAATATTGATTGATCTGTGTGACTTGTAATCTGCAGGCAATTTATCAAAATTCTATAGAAGGAAAAGACAGAATGGTGCTATAATTCCTATAAATGATAACGAAAAATTCAGGCTAGCTGCTTCCAATGGATTGGTGCATTTTTTTGTTAAGGAACTGACCAGAGATCATCATCCTGACAGAGATGATGAAAGGTCTAGGGTGGAAGCTGCAGGCGGTTATGTTGTTGATAGAGGTGGTATCTTTCGAGTCAATGGTGAATTGGCTGTTTCTCGAGCTATTGGTGATGTGCCCTTTAAAAGGTATGATTCTCAATTGGTCAACCCAGAAAAAAATGGTCTGTGGTTTTTATTATCTCCCCCTCCAACAATTCCAAAAAAACCTTAAATTTGGTCCTATTCTGTTTATATCTAGAGTCCAAGATTGAACCTTCTCTTACTTGGTCTTGGTTACTGTCAGTTATGGTGTTATACCTACACCAGAAGTGACAGATTGGTTACCTTTAACTTCCAATGATAGCTACTTGGTGATCGCATCTGATGGCATATTTGAAAAGCTAACCACACAGGACATTTGTGATCTCTTATGGGATGCAGACAAGCAAATCCATGTTCACTCAGAACTTGTTTCTTCATGCATGCATTCATTAGCCGACTGTATAGTGAATACTGCTTTTGAGAGAGGCAGTATGGATAACATGGCGGCTATTGTGGTTCCATTGAGACCAACTGCTTTTTCCAGGACTCTGATAAAAGATAGCTATGATAGAGAGAGGAGCATTGAAACCTCAACTTTCGAACTGCAGAAGCTCATCGAGTCAAGTAACTTCTCCTACTTGCAATTTTCAGAAATTCAAGCACTTTCCTAGATACTTTTGTTTGCTACACATCTTATAAGTAAAGGAATTGAGGGCCTGTGAGAGTATTGCTATAAGGTGGTGGTTATGATGCACCTTCTTTTTGGTAAATGGGGTAAAACCTAATTAATATTAGTGTTTTAAAAGTAGTGTAAGGCTTATGTCTTGAGGTAAGCCTCAAGGTGAGGCTCAAGGAGTTCATCCTTGAACATCATGCCTGAAGGCACAAGGCATATTCCCTCACACCTTGAGATGTCTTATGTGCATGTACATGCTTTTTTTGTGCTTGTATCTTCAACATGCTTAAAATCATTTTGCATAAAATCATTTTGAGACAGTACTTTACAGTTTACATTTGAAGGTCTTTTAATAGTTATTGAATGGCTTGGAATAATGCAATGACTTTCACTAAAGCTCTTATTATTTTTAATTTTCTTGTTTATGTGATCATTTATTCATTTACGTGCTCTTCTCTTATATATTCGTTTTTTTAATTTCGTGTTTTAATTAAAAATTAACTTGTGAAGCTTCAGACTTAGGCTTTGAGACTCATGCTTTTACTCAACTGAAGGTTCTGGTATCTCGCCTCACGTCCCATTTTCAAACAATGATTATTACCCCCTCCCCCATGTATTATTACATTCTTAGTGCAATAAATAGGAGTACCTTGTGTCGTTTCTTTTCACTATGCTGTTCCCCCTCAATAACAGGAGAGGTCTCAGATTATCTGGTTTAACAAGTCAGTTTTGTTCACTTAAACATCTTGGTTCCATATCTAAGGTTATACAAGTAAATCCTTCCAGGACACTGATTAACCCATGGGGCCTGCCTTCCATATTAGCAACACTCTGACCAACTCTCTTTCTCTTCATCATGTCATCTTGAGCATTGGTAGAGCTTGGGATCCATCTGAATTAGTTGTTCATCTGGAGACAAACACCTTATCTTTTCTAAGTTGATCTCTCCATAGCCCATGTCTTCTGCGTAGATATATTTTTAGCCAATGTTGCATGTGAATTTCCCTCAATCTCCAATCTCTCCCAACCCCTAGAGACATCCAATTTAAGGACTTCGATAAGGGATTATAGCTATTTTCTGATAGAATCCCCATCCTTGACAGTCAAGAGGAGATCAAAATGGGCAAACCATCATATGCTTTAAAGGCTCTACTCACTACTGAAGGTCCTATGCCTCCTGGAGTTTTGTTAAAAGGTCCCTTAAATCCCCCATTTCTTTCTTGCACATGATACACTTTTTTGCTGCACGAAAGCCTTAGGATGTGTTCGGTTTGAAAGAAGAGGTAGGGAAGCCTATACAAGGTAAAGCTTGCCTGAGACTACAGTCTGGAGAGCAGGGTTCATGTATGCCGAAGCATATATCATGATTTTAATCTACTAATTAGAATTAATTTTCACTCTTTGTTGGGTCTAGTTATTCAAGATATATCATTTTGATAGTTTTGCTCAAGTAGTACATGTACATCCTATAATTGAGTGTAAACCTAGTTTTGTATTTGTATTATCTGGTCATTTCTAAAATCAGCGGTTTTTATTGTCTTCATTGTCCAAAATTATAACATACATCGTTTTAATGTTGCCATGTTGAAATCGGGGGCTCTATCCCAATCATCCACTAAAAATCTATACCTTATTGACATTTCTATTTGACAATCTTTTCTTACCATCTCATGCTTACTATGATGATAGATTTCTACTGACTTGAACATATTTATCTCTGATCAGCCGATTTCAAATTGTCTGGCCTTGTATCAATGGAGTATGCTCATCAAACTATGGGGAACTTCAAAAGGTTATTGGTAAGGCAGAAAATGGAATTTTCAGCTCAATCTCCTAGTGACTTAACCATCATTTTTATTGGTGACTGGTGATTTCAATGTATAATATTGAAAAGAAGGAAAGTATCAGTAGAATTCCAGATACATGAAGGTATGCATCAAATGCAAAAAGCATAATCAGTTCAATGACCTAATATACACCAAAACCAGGAAAAATAATATTTGTCTCGTAATCTCATCCCATTGAGACTTGATATCAGTCCAATTCAAATCTTCAAACCATTTAAAGACAATCCAAGATGGATGAACAGATGTCTCAACATATTCTCTGGAGTGTTCTGTACTCGTCAAATATTCTTCTTTTCTCTCCTTACAAATGCTCCAAATTACAACTAAGGGGTAATGCCCTATATCTCCTACTATACTTTAGTATTTAAAGCATGGTAGAGTGGCTGAATTTGTTTGATCCTTCTATGCTTCAGTCTGGAAAAGATACTCAAGAATGTTATCAGATTTAGACCAGTCAGAAAACTGGATTACTCACTGGGTCATGGTTATACCAGTTAACTGGCTGGTTAACCTGTTCAAACCACGAAACTGTCATTTAACCAGGACTTGGAAAGGTTACTGTATCACTGGTTCAACCCATCTGGTCCACTCTTGAGTCTGGTAGCACTGGTATTCTGTTCTTCTCATTCTCAGATTATTTTTCCCTTGGTCTTTATTTTTTGGAAACAAGGAAGCTAATTGAGACATGATTCTTTTGCAGTTTGTTGGGGATATGAAAGGAAATAAATAGATGAATATATGAATGCAAAATACTACATTACAGAAGAATATGTGCAGGCACAGGTTCAGCTATTGTAAACTAGCTGATTGCTCATTTTAAAGATCCTATTCCTAGTTAAATACAAGCGAACACAAGCCTCAAGATGCAACAACTCCTAAAGACCCAGCTCCAATAAAACTTCTACATGACCCTCTGGACCCTTCAGAATTACCAATCAATCTTCATGTACTGGCTCTTCCCCTACAGCCCCTTCCTTGACTCTACTGCCTCAACCTCCCTTTCTTCAGCCTCCCATAAGATCTGATGATTTTACTTTAATCCAATGAAGCTTGCTCTGTTGACCAACATTTAAACTTTGTCACTTCCTTGGACTACCTTCCCTCCTCAGAGCTTATCCCCTTCAAAAGGCCACGACTCTGTTTGACTTTAACTTCCCTTGAAACCTAAGCCTCTTCTAGCCAATCCTTCTTTAAGCATTAGAAGTAGTCTAGTCAGTACCTCACCTCAAATCATTAATAAGAGCCTTGCCTACTAAAAATAACCTGGTGCAATCTCAGGTAAACCAATAAAAAAGTAGATTAACGAGAAAACTGAGAGAGATGCTGTTCACAACCTACCCATACAATTCGGGTGGGGGATGCTGTTCACAATCTGGGGGTTGGATCATTTACTGTGGCTTTGTAAAACCTCATGAAATCTTACTTTTTTTTGATAAATCTCATGGAATCCTACTTTTTCACTGATTCTACTGTTAACAATGCTAAATACAGAATGGATAGAGGCTTATATTGAGAAGATGCAGAAAGAGTTCCTATGGGGTATTAAAGGGGACGAGAGGAAATATTGTCTAGTGAAATGGGACTGGGTGTGTAGGGAAGAGGAGGGAGGTTTAGGAATTAGGATGGTGAAGTTATTTAACAAGGATTTTTTTAGATCAGTAAAAAGATTTCATTAAAAATTCATGAACTTGAGTACAATCATTAAAGGAATTTCCCACCCTATATTACATCATACTACAACTTTGTCCAAAACAAGAGAGGCCTGTCAACTCCCTGTTTTTCTAATACATCTGCCATCCCATTGGTAGTCCTTCTTATCCAGCTGAAAGTAGAATTAAACCTCTCTGCTAGGGTGTCGATTTCTCTGATGACAGGTTTGTATTTCCAAGGGGCTGAACTGATTTTCTTGTTCCAATTGATGACTAGTTGTGAGTCTCCTTAAATTTCCAATTCCCTAATTTCAAGATGAACTGCAGCTCTCAATCCCTGTAACAGAGCCAATATTTCAGCCTGAACTGAGTCTCCAAAGCCAAATGGTCCTGAATACAAGACAAGGCCACTCATTACCCCTCCTTGGTTGTTTCTGAATATACCCCCTATGCCTGTTCTTCCTGGATTACCCAATGAGCTGCAATCATAGTTCAGCTTTAGTTAAGAGATGGTGGCCTCCATTACATCCATACATTTTCTACATGCCTCTCTGTTTATGCCACTTCGGTCCAATCCCTTATTATATCAGTATTTGAGAACTCTTGGAAGAGGTCCAAAGTCTTTACACAGTTGTTTAACAAGGTTTTACTAGGAAAGTGGTTATGGAGGTTTCGATTGGAAAGGGAAGGTCTGTGGAAGAAAGTAGTGGTGTGTAAATATCAGGTGGTGGGTTTTGGGTGGGACACTAAGGAGGTAAGGTCTTCTTATGGACTAAGTGTTTGGAAAGGAATAATGATTTGCCAATCAGCCTTTCTTAATTTTGTCTCCTATAAGGTTGGAAATGGATTGGCCATAAATTTTTGGGAAGATGATTGGGTGGGGATTGGAAAATTGTGTGATTTGTGCCCATGTTTATATAGGTTAAGTAAACAAGATACCTCTATTGCAGAAAAATTTGGAAGTGATTCAAGAAGGGTGATTGGTGCCCAAAGTTCAGAAGGCCTTTGTTGGAGTGGGAGATTTAGGAGTGTGCGGAATTGCTATCAAAATTACAACCGGTTGAGTTGCAGGTGGAGAGAAGGGATATGAGGTGGTAGAAGGAGTCCAGTAATGGAAGATTTCTGTGAAGTCTTTCTATAAAGCTCTCTTGAGGAATCGGGTAGAGAGATCGGTGGTGAGAGGTGTTTGGGGAAACCCTATTCCACCTAGGGTGGAAGCTTTCTCCCTGCTGGTTGCTTTGTATATGTAGAGATAATGGGCTGAATGGGCCTTAGTTTCTTTGTTTTTCTTTAAGTTATGTTTATGACTTGTGTTAGTAGGTAGTGGGCCTTAGTTATGGGCCTGTTTTCTCCTTTTTTATTGTTTTTTATTGTCGTCTTTAGTGATGGACGCCTTACTAAGGGCACTCATGTAATTGTCCTTATTTTTCATAACAAAAGAATAAAAGAGATCTTTGGGGGCTGAAGAGAGGTTTTGAGCTACTCTCTCTTCTTCTTCCTTTTCTTCCATCTTCTTCCTCCGTCACTTCTCTCTCTTCAATCTCCTTTTCTCATGTTTCTTTTCTTTTAATTCAGATTATTGTAGGTATGATTTACAACTTGGTATTAGAGTAGGTTCTCACCTTCTTTTCTTTCTTCTTTCTTTGCCCATACATTGTGTGTATGGAGAATTGATTGGCTGATTTGGAAGCAGCTTATGTAGCCCAGTTGGGATGGTTTTTGGAGAGGTTTTGTGAAATTTTTCATCCCCAGTTGAAGCCCAAGGCAGGTTCTTGGAGGTTTTTTTTTTTTTTTTTTTTCGAAAACCCTAGACAATTGGAGAAAACTAGTTATAGGTCCTAGACAAACTTTGAAGCTGGCGCTTGGGGACCAAAGGGTAGCCTTTTGATTTTCATTAAGGGTGATTTGAGTATGACAAGGTTCTGGAACCTTTGGTAGGAGCAGTTGAACTTTCTCCTTTTCTCCCATTTGGGCGATTCCTGTAAAACTCCAGATTTGGCTGTTTGAAGAGTAGTTTTTTGCTTGGGATAGCAATTCTAGCTTAGTTGACATTTATTTTGATCTCCGTTTCACTCAATGGAGCAAACTGGAGGAGAAACCAAATATCCCACAGATTTCGGGTTTGGACATGGGGGGTCAATGGAGAATCTTTTTGGGGCAGTGACCACTATGAAGCTAGATGGGACCAATTATTTAGCCTAGTCTTAGTCTATTAAGATACATGTTTGTAGTAGAGGGAAATGGGGTTATATCACTGAGAGCAAGAAGAAACCAGGGGAGGATGACCCTACCCATGAGAGGTGGATGTAGGAGAATTACATAGTAGTGGGTTGGTTAGTGAATTCTATGCATCCACTTATTAGCCAACACTACTTGTGGATGGAAACTGCAAAGGAGGTGTGGGATAGTGTCATAGAGACCTATTCCCAAAAATTGAATGTTGCCCGGGCTTACAAATTGAAGAATGATGTAAATAATCTAAGATAATGGGAGAAGCCCTTAGCCGTTTGTTTCTCTATACTAAAATCTCTTTGGTAGGAGATTGATTTGATGGAGGTTGTGGTTTGAGGATGCACAAAGGATGCCAAAACACATAGGAAGCTGGTGGACAGAAATCGGGTTTTTGAGTTCCTTATCGGACTCAACCCGGAGTATGATATTGTGAGACAAAATGTTTTTGTGAAGGATGAAGTGACTTTTATCTCAGGCTTATGCTATGGTGAGTAGTGAGGAGAGCAGGAGACAGGTTCAGTCTATAGAGCCACAGATGGATCACTATGCTAATGCTAGGATGAAGCCAAAGGTCAGCACTGGAAAGAAAGATGTTATTTGTGAATACTGCAAAAAGCCTAAACATACTAAAGACACCTATTGGAAGCTGCATCCAAAGCTTAAGCTTGCCAGACTCAATAATGCAAACACTAGAAAAAGGAATGAGAATGAGAAAGGTGGAAATTCAAATGTAGCCACCTCCTCACAAAGTGAATAAGGGCATAGTGGTGAGAAGTCAATAGGATGTATCAACAATATATTGGAGATATTAGGAAGAAAATATTCATGGATAATTTTGTTTTTCCCCCTACCAAAATGGGGAAATTTTGGAGAAATTTTGCCAAATAATGTTGATTTTGTGAATCATGATATCACTTGTTTTTTTTCTAATCTTAAATAGGTTCCTTTGTTCAAAAATTACATGACACGTGGGATCTTTCAATTCAAAATTTCAAACACTCCAACTATATTCAGTCCACAAAACTGTGGAAATGTTCTGGAGTTGGTTGATCAGTATCCTCCTTGCAGTTGCAAAAATACCACAATTACATGCTTCATTTTTTTTTTAATTTTTTCAAATACATAAAAACTATTAAAGTCATTGACCAATGTAGCTGTCTAACTAAAACACAATTGCACCTAAGATGGACCCTATAGCAATGCCTGAACATTGCCTTTTATTTTTCGCTTTTTAAAAATCTTTTTAGAAAGTTTTCTCTAGATGCTGCATATAGGATATTTCTCTATCATGCCTCAGTTACATTGTTTTTATAGTAATCCAAAACTTTTTTATGTTTATTATTTGAAAAAAATACTCTTTTAAATCTATTATATGTTCATTTCACATTGTATGTGAATGCTGTTGATTGCCATTTTTTGTTAGGTTGAAGGAAAACATGGTAGACTTGGTTGTTTCTATTTGTCAGAAAATCTCAATGAGAACATGGATTATGCATTTCGTATTCAAAAGGATGACCAGAAAGATGATATGTATAATTTACATCAAACTCTGCCTCAAGCTCTTGGGCATCAGCATGGTAAGTATAATACTTTTAAAATGGTATTTTACTGAAATGATTTCTCAACCTATCCTTGTGGTTTCAAAATATTTTAATTACTTTATGATATTGACTTCATTTTATTCTTACCTTGATTTCTCAGACAAATTTCTACATATAAATTAGTATATTGCCAGGGGAATAGAAGTGCTTCTTTTAATTCTTTAGTTTCTACTTGCAGAAAAGAAAATTGGATATTGCTTTGTCTTTGGATTCGGTTAGAACAAATTCTAATATTGCATTTTCATTGTTTTAGATAATAGCTAAAGGGGCTCATGTGAATGACTTATAGCTGTCTTTTAGTTGCTAAAATAGTCATATAATAAATATTCAAGGGTTTTACTAGTATACTGAACATGCCATTTAGCCATTAAGAAACTAATAAACTACTTATGAGTAATGTCATCCACTTAAAGATAAAGCGATAAGCCATTCAGTTCAGCAACTTCAGCTGTTGTCAAACAGAACCTGACATTTTTTTAATTGATGAATATAAAACTTATTTATAATGAAAAATAAGACCGACATTGTTTGGGATAGGGTTGTGAATGGACTCCGAAAATCCTATACCTGAACCATCATTCTATCCAATTATACTGGATTTGTGTTTGCTGGAAAACAACAACCGAAGAAGATTTGAGAATGGCGGCTTACTCACTTCAGTTGGCCCTACAATCTTATATAGATGTTTACAAAGTAATGTTACATGAATGGACTAGAATGCCCCTGATTAGTGATGGAACACCTAGACAAATAAAAAATTAAGCAAGTTTAGGCCCAATAACTAAGGCCCAATAACTAAGAACTTAAGACACAAATATGACTAACATAAACACTAAACCAGCCGAACCAACACTTCCCCTCAAGCTAAGCATGGATGTCAGTCATGTTTATCTTGCCAAGTAAGTCTAAGAATTTCGTTGAAGCTAGTCCTTTTGTTAGCACATCTGCAATCTGCATCTCGGAAGGAGTATAAGGAATGCAGAGTTCCCCTGAGACTATTATTTCTCTAACGAAGTGTCGGTCAATCTCAATATGCTTTGTCCTATCATGTTGCATTGGGTTATTTGCAATGTTGATGGCAGCCTTGTTGTCACAGTACAGCTTGAGAGGATACTCGACCTTTATCCCAAGCTCACCAAGAAGGGTCCTAAGCCACAATAGTTCAGCAACACCATGAGCCATAGCTCGATATTCAGTCTCTGCACTTGATCTAGCAACCACATTCTGCTTTTTACTTCGCCATGTAACCAAATTCCCTCCAACGAACGTACAATACCCAGAAGTAGACTTCTTGTCTCCAACAGAACCAGCCCAATCTGCATCAGTATACGCTTCAATTTCAATTTTATTGTGTTTTTTGAACAGAATTCCTTTTCCTGGGCAAGTCTTCAAGTACCTAAGAATCCTTTCCGTTGTTCTCATATGAGGAATCTTTGGAGAGTGCATGAACTGGCTGACAACATGTACAGCATAAGCAATATCTGGTCGAGTGAGAGACTGATATATCAACTTCCCTACCGGTTTTTGGTATCTCTCTTTATCAAGGTAGTCCTCTTACTGATTCCTGTAGACCATGGTTCTGTTCTATTGGAGTATCTGCTGGTCTACTCCCCATCATACCTGTCTCCTCTAGAAGATCAAGGACATACTTCCGTTGACATATATAGRTGCCCTCTTGTGACCTAGCAACTTCAATTCCAAGGAAGTATCTCAGATGGCCAAAGTCTTTGATCTCAAACTCAGAAGCCAAGAACTCCTTCAATCCTTTTATCTCTTCCAGATCATTCACTGTAATCACCATATCATCCACATAGACGATGAGTGCCGTAAGTCTGCTATCCTGTTTCCTTATGAACAAGGTATGATCTGCACCACTTTGAGTGTATCCCACTCTCTTCATGGCCCCACAGAGCTTCTCAAACCAAGCCCGAGGAGACTGCTTAAGACCATATAATGCTTTCCTCAGTTTACACACTTTCCCATAAAA